TTCCTGTTAGTTTTTCATGGGCAAAATCACGGTTTCTTGTTTCTTTCTGCTAATACTTTACAAGGCTTTGCATTTCAGCCTTCAAGAAACTGCATACAGTATTACCAGATGCGTATGATTCAACTCATGCAACACAGTTTTCAAGAAATGATTCCTGTAAGCAGAACTGTACTAATAAGCTGTACAAATGTCTCATGCACATTATTTAACTCCCTAGAATTAATTGTAACAACACCTTTTTGCCATTTATTTGGCTGCATCACAGAATAACTTGAGTGCACAGAAAGCATACAGATCTTTCTCCATTCAATATAGGAAAGAAATAACACATTATTGTGAAAGTCAGAATTCAGTCTTACTCATATTTAAGTTTGTTTTCACAATTTAAAATATTTCAGGAAATATTTGGTGGACAGAAATAATGGATGACAACTGTCACTATTAAATGAACAGGATATTAAATCAAATGATCAGTATATATTTTTGTAAGACTTTGTGTACAATGAGTCTTATTCATTCCACAGAAACCCATGAAAAGCCAAAATCTTACTCCTATTTGACAGATAGGAAACTGAGGTTTACCGCTGTAGACCTGCTCAAGATTACCCTGAGTTCCTGTATGAACAGGAATTTGAATTCAGCTCCTGGGTATTCTATGTCCAGCTAGTATGAAAGGTATTTGGGGAGAGGAGGTGCTAAGAACAGGTGGTAACTAGTGGGTAGTAAGAATTATTTATAGTCGTGGTGGATTACATCAGAGACTGTGATTACCACACCACTTTAGAAAATTTCTGGAAGTTTGGGCCATGACTTGATTGCTTTCCTTGAAAGAAATTCAGCAAACTGCAGCAAAACATATTGCAAAATCTGGGACAGAAGTGAATCAGTGGACTTTTCTGAAACAAAGCACCATATCAAGGGTGTTCTACTGCATCCACAGTTGCCTGTACTAGATAGACTCACTGTTCCTTGACCATCACTAGTTTTAATTTGCATTGTTTTGCTTTATAAGACACTACAAAACAACAACAACAACAGAAACACTTTCTACTACAGAAGAGAGAAAAATGTATGTGTTGCATCTCTTTCCCTCTCTCTCTCCTATAGCTATTTCTCTTTCATTCATTGTGCTCACAGACACCGAGGGAGAAAGGCTCAAAAGCATTTTAAAAAACCTTTTATTTATTTCAGTTCCACAGAGAATACTACATCATCATCAACAACAAAATGTTCAAAGTTTTAGGGTATGAGTTAACTGAAAAACACATATAAGGAACGCAAGGTGTGACACTGGTCTAGGGGTGTTAGCCTGGGGTTGTTCTTCTGCTTTTACCTTTTATTAATGAGGAAACAGAGAATAAATGTATGTGTTTTGATTTTTGTGAGATACTTGGTATCCTGGAGCCAGTGGAAAGATGACATATTTATCAAAATAATAATAACACAAATAGTCAAAGTGGGATCCATTGGTTGGAGAAAGTGGAAAGCTTAAAAACATGAGGAGCCACCTTGCTGTTCTGCTGCCTATGGGAAGCTACCCAAGGGATGGAAGGAATGAGAGTATTGCTCCCCACTTGTGCTACCCATGTGATTTTTTTTTTCATTTTTAGCATTGTAAGGAGCAAAACATGGGAAATCATTCACACCTAGAACTCTTCTATTTGGACTGTTTATATCCTCTGGATAATGTTGCCTGTCCCTTTTCTTTGGATGACTGAATGGTATTTCTAAACACTCAACTGAAGTTTTAAGTTAATGCAATGCTAGAATTTTAGAGCTTCAAGGAAATCTTAATGGGGGGATTATTATTGGGGGGATGTCCTCATTTTGCCCCCTTTCTAGCTGCAAGCAACCTCTCCTCTGCCGCTTCATCCTGACAATGCACCTCCTCCAGGTTGTTGGCATTAATTCATACAAAAACAGATCCACTGGACTGCTAAAAAGATGGATCAATGGGTCTTAGATTAAATCAAGCTTGAACTCTTCTTCGAAACCACGATGACTGACATGAGACTGTCCTACTTTGGCCATATCATGAGAAGACAAGACTCAGTAGATAATAATATTTGGTAAGACACAAAACTGGAGGAAAAGAGGAAGACTGCATTCCAGATGGAGAGACTCAATCAAGGAGTCTGCATGACCTGAGGAGGTGGTGGAAGACCTGGATGACTCTGGTCTCATATTTTGACTATATCATGAGAAAACCTGACTCATTAGAAAAGATAATGGTGTCTGGTAAGGTAGAAGGCAGTAGGAAAAGAGGAAGCCCACATTCCAGAGAGATATATCAAGGAAGCCACCGCTCTGAGTCTGCAAGATCTGAGAAGGGCTGTTGATGACAGGATGGCTCATTCATCTTGTTGCTGTTAACTGCCCTTGAGTCAACTATGATTCATGGTGACCCTGTAGATGAGGCATCTCCAAAACCCCCTGTCCTCCATTGCTCTGCTTAGGTCCTGTAATTTCATTCCCATGACCTCCCTGATTGAGTCTATCCATCTGGCATGCGGTCTCCCTCTCTTTCTGTTGCTTTCTACCTTCCCTAGCATTATTGTCTCTTTTAGTGAGCTATGCCTTCTCGTGATGTGGCCAAAGTATGGCAGCCTCAGTTTCATCATCTTGGCTTCCAGGGAGAGTTCTGGCTTGATCTGTTCAAGGACCATTTGTCTTTTTAGCTGTCCATGGGATCCTCAGCACTCTTCCTCAGCACCACATCTCAAAAGAGTTTACTTGCTTTCTGTCAACTTTCTTCACTGTCCAGGTCTCATATCTGTAGATGGTGATGGGGAATACAATGGCTTGGGTGATCATCACTTTAGTGTTCTCAGTTATATCTTTCCACTTTAGGATCTTGTCTAGTTCTTTCATGGCTGCCTTTCCCATTCATAGTCTTTTTACTTCTTGACTGCAATCTCCATTCTGATCAGTGTTTGATCCCAAGTACAGGAACTCTATCATTATTTTTATTTCCTTGTTATCTACGTCGAACTTTGGTAGATTCTCTGTGGTCATTTTGTTTTCTTTATGTTCAG